ATCCTCAAGAGAAACTACTCGAGAGACAGTGCCAAGGTCTCCAAGGAAGACAGTGTCACGTTCTCTTAAAGAGCAAATGCCTTCACCATGCAAGGAACCTATTTCTCAGGAAATTGTGACCCAGGAGGTATCAAAGCATCTGCCATTGACTTGTCCAACAAATTTCTTTGATAATTCCAGCTTGGGTACACCAACAGGTACGTAATGCAGTGCTGTTCTCCTATAAGGCCTTGGAGAGGCAAAATTTAAGGGGTGGTCTGAGTTATGAGAAAATGCCCTGTATTTTCTGTATTCAGACTTGAAACTTCCACAATTAGTTTTCTTGATTGGTTAATCAGGTGGCTGTTGAAGGGCTAACCAGCTGGAGCTATGAAATTTTAATATTCTTTACAGAACTTAAATCCTTTAAGTAGTACTTCACCTCCTGAAGATTATACAATTTTTATTTTTTCCTTTTGCTGCAGTGGAAGTGTTGATGACCTAAAGTGAATTAGGTAGCTGATAGTCTAAAATGTTTTGCTTCTTAATTTCACATTGGTTAAGCACAGACTTCTAGCAAAACTATTCAAAGTTAATTGCTGGTTACCTTTTTTCCTAAACTTCTTTAGGGTGACAGATTTTAGTCTTTGTTGAATCTGCCAGTCTACCTAGATCCAGCTGCAGTAATAGCTGTTTTGATAATTTCTGTTCCTCAGCCCTACTCATATCTGACCTGGTGACTTCTGGACAAGTCTCTTAGTGATCTATGCTAGCATATTAATGCTACTGTCCTTGTTACACTTGCTTCTCAAAGCATTAAGAAGGCCCCAGCAGGCATGGTGAAGAGTTAACCCCATTTTCAAGGTATTAATTGCAGATTTCCAGAATGAATATGGCTCACTCCTGTTTGTTTTGATGGCCAGCTTGATGATAGTATGGCCTTCCTCACAAACCAAACTCCTCAGAGGCAAGCTTTGGTAGTTGGCATTTAAAACACTAGTCAGGATTAAATTGCATATTCCTACTGCTTGTCTAACTAGGAAAGATTAAGTTTTACTTTATTCTTTTCTTCTGTATAGACTCACGGCCTGTGGGAATAGAGCCAACAGAAGAACATCTTAAGTTCTGGTTTGGAAATTCAAAGAAAGATGAAGCCCCTGAATGCCCCACCCAGTAAAGGTGCTCTGTTGCAACTTGCCTTTGCAGTGGCTACAGCCAGAATCTACATGTAGATAAAATAACTGCTTCAGGTCAAAAGTCATCAGCCTGTGCTACAAATTGTGGGAAGAGCTCTGGTGTCATGAAAATCCTTTGCTGTCTTGGAGTTGCTACTTAGCACAATTGGAAGCTTGAATACAGCAGGGAAAAAGGAAAAGCAGTCATGTTGCCCAACTGATCTACTTTGGTGTTGGTTTGGTTTTTTTGGATGGGAAAGAAAAGTCAATGTATCGAAGAAAAAAATGGAAATGGACCACAAACTAATCTAACGTAAAACTTCTCAATCTTAAACCTTTCATTCTGTCATGCCTAGAACAGTCCTCTTCTGGGTCTGATATTGAGTTGGACAGAACTATACTTTTTTCCCCCCCATAGCATATAGCTTTTATACCATACTTTCTGTAAGTACAAAAACTGCATTTTCACTGCAGTTTTAACCTCACTATCTGGACATTGTAACTGAAGTTTCTAATCTGCTGTTTATATGGCACACAATCAAGAGTTCCTCTTAAACTCCTTAGAGTACTTCTGCAGTGCAGTCAATTATGATGCCAAGAATAACTCTGTATTTTGCCTCATCTTTCAGTATACTTCTAGTTCCTGCTTGAAGCTGGGTATTGGTTTTCCTTTTAACAGGAAACAATGGACCTGACACTTTTCTGCTACTCTAGTGAATGGAAAAAAACCTGGATGATCAGGACTGCAAGAGACTATTTTACTAGCCGCCTTATCTGCATTGTGAGGCCTACTTTTTTGAATGTTTTGTATAAAGAAACAATAAACTTCAGTGTTTAAATATTTATAAGTGTTTTTGCTGGTCACTGAACTTATGCTATGATCTCTGGATGTTGAGTACAATATTCAGTGTTAAAGACTATCTTTTATAGTAATCTCACCACTTCCATCTTTATTACACTTCCTGTCTGTGTCCTCTAGGCTTTCTGCAATAATTACTCTGTGAAGAAGTTTACTGTTGTACAAGTCTGTGTCACTGGTGCTTTGTTTTATTGTTCTTTGTAAGTCTTAAATGTTTTAAGCCTAGATGATAGATCCTCCTCACTTTCCTCCCTGCACACCCTTCACTGCCAACCGAATAGGAATTTGACACTCAAAACCTGAGATCGACTCTTAAGAGTTAAATCATCATCATGATGTGAGGAAAGTAATTCCTAACAAAGATGTCTGCATCAAGAGCATTATTTTGTTTTATAGGAATAAAGCTCTAAGCGATGCTAGGTCTCCCAAATACTCAAAACCCAAGCTGGTAAGCAAATTATTACATTGACACATTCCTGGGCATTCAGCAGTTACTGGAATTGGAAAAGTTGCACACGGGTTATTTATCTGATGGAGCTACTTCAGAGATCTCTGAAGAACCAACAACCTATTTACCTTGGATAGCTGAAAACTCTGCCAACTACTGTAACTATGAAGAAACTGCAATTATTTATCTCTCAATCTCTGCCCTGGAGTGTATTTGGGGAAGCCTTTAAAGGTACTGCTAACCAAAAATCCATGAGTTTGTAAACTTGTTGTTTGTGTGTCCCAGTTTACCCACAGAAGTGGCTTTTCTGAGGAAAATATGCCCACCTTAAGTTCAGGTAGGGTTCCAAATTCTTAATGCTATCAGGGTAGCTTTAGGTCTGGTTTGAACTTGTAACTAAATTAGTTTATCCTAGAATTTTCCAGTCTGATCATATTAACTCTACCTTCACATATGTAAGTTAAACCACTAGACAAGAAAAAAGTTTGTAAGTTACCAGTACAAAAAAAAGAAAAGAAAACGCAACCAAACAAAATAACAATTTCTCATGTAAGTATTGTTTTAGTTTAAGATTTGGTAGCTTTATATTTGTGGGAATACTTTTCGTTTTCTTTAATTTCTTAGGGAAAATGGAAAGCCAGGCCTGGTGACCCTTGTTTGTTCTTTCCCGCGCAGGAGAAAATCTCACTTGAAGTCCTTAGTTTCACTAGATGGCAGCATCTCAATATTTCAACAGGAAATTACGTTCATTTAGAGAAACTTAACAGACTACAAATCCCAAAAAGCACAGCAAAAAAGTACAAAACTTCCTTTTGTGCAAAGGTCGGTGAAAATAACCTGAGAACTCTTGGTGAGTGACCTAATATTTATTTTAAATGCTTCATAGAATCAATGTGGCAAATGTTCATGAAATCTGAGCCAGAGTGTGGGTGTAAATACAGGAAAATATAGCTTCATCCTGGCTCAGACTACAAATCCCAAAAAGCACAGCAAAATTTCAGGGTCTTTTGGGGAAATACTTACATTGATCAGGTTGTTTATTCCATTGGAAAGGTAACAACAAAGAAATAAGAAACCTTCCTCTGCCTGGAGGGAGCACTTGGATCTCATTGTTAAGATACTCAGGATTTGCTACAAGTAATCTCATTTTACTCAGTTTATTTGGTATGTTTTGTCTGTCAATGCAAAAAGGTTATTTTAACAGAGGCCAAATACCCAGAGGCCTTAGCCTCTAGCTTGCCATCAGAGGCATTTTTACCAGCCAATGTAAAAAGTGTGTTTAAGGTATTGTGCTTTTCCCTGATTGGAAACGTGCATCTCAGTTACTCTTTGCTTATGTGACTGTTCTTCTGTGCTTTGATTCTTTCTGTGTGTGTGTGTTCCGGTTAAAGGGGGGAAAACCTACAGTGAAAAAAAATCAGTGTCTTTCAATATAGTCTATCACTTAGTACAACTTTAAACCAAAAAAAATGTTTTTCATATTAGAGTGGAAATAATTTTTCAGTTGAACTATCTCAGAGAAGTCTCATTTGTTGAATCTATAACCTCCAGGGAAACATTAGTTTTACTGCAACTTCTGTCAGGGAAAACTGCTGGAAAAAAAATTTCTGATCAAAATCAGATAATAATCTGGTTTAAGATGTAGGAACACTAAATTTGACTCAATTTTACTAAATTTGAGTCGCAGTGTGGATTTGAGTATCTTCAGATAACATCATCTGCTTCTAACCTGGGGGATGTTTTGGCATCTTTGTCTTAACTTAGCAGTACTCTACATTGGATTCATACACGTATTTAAAGATCTGAGGTTCTTGGGACACGCTTCTATGGTCTTAGCTATATAAACAAATTGTGCTCTGTGGATTATAAAAGTGCAGGAAGTTTTGCTTAACGGGAACCCAATTAAAAGTCTGGGCGGTTCCCTCCTGCTCGCCTCAAGCATGCTCAGTAGTTCCCCTAGAGCAAGCAACTCGAGAGGTGAGACAGGACAGAGCTTCTTTCCTGCCCCCGCCCATCTGCCTTACTGGTGCTGGGAATCTGCTGTGCTGGAGGATACCTAAAACAATTCAGAGCAGACACCAAGGCCAGCGTATTGTCTGGAATTTATTGCAATCCAGGAGGCTGATTAATTTGTAGCTTGACAGGAGTAGCTGAAACACCTGATTTCTAACAATTCAATGAACAGTGGAAGCTCTAGAATACAAGTTACTGTACTTCAGTTTCATCTTGGCTTTTTTATAAAGGAAGAATAAAGTCTGTTTTCTCTTGTAATAAAGCCTGGCTTTTGCACTTAAATGCCTTTTTATCTATTTTAGGTCCCCTTGGTTATGATAGAACTAAGTTGAGGCAGTCCCCTCAGAATCCTGGATGACTCAGGGTCACAATGCAGCCAGACAGGTCACTCTGTGATATGATTTGATGGCAGAGGATCTCTGAATCACGCTTAGTTTTTTGAATGCATTTGCAGCTGATGCCTAGGAAGTGTTGGCTCATCTTTTTATTAATTATTCTGTGACATCTTCTGTCTGCACAGGTGAGCAGTATGGGTCGCCTTGATGGGAAGGTTATACTGCTGTCTGCAGCAGCACAGGGCATTGGACGAGCTGCTGCTATAGTAAGTTGGAAAATCTTCCCCTGTGTCCTTGGTGCTAGCTTCTCCAATAATGCCTACACCAACAAGTTCTTGAATGAATAAAGCTCTGAGTGGTAACATGACGCAAGGATATAGGCAAGATTTGAGCACAGCTGCAACTGTTTTTTTAACAATATTGGGTTGGTAGTGTCTGTACCTCTAATCCAATATCTCGGCTGCTTTGTCCTGGGAGAAAATAGGGAGGAGAGAGGTAATATTTCCTGTTATGAGGTGTGATACTGCAGATTCCTTGCTCTAAAGCCAAGGTATTCTATCTGCAGTAATAGTTTACATAACTATGTGATACTAACAGCACAGCTACAGTGTTGTTCACAATGAGCAGCTGTGAGAAATCCTTTACAAATTTGCTGTAATTACTGTTAAACAGAATTTAATGTTCTGGCTATCTTTTAATCCCTTTTGACCAGCTCTTCCCTTGCTACTTACTTCTTCCATAATAGATAGATAAACTAGTAGGGCTGACTCAGTATCTCTTATCAGCAAGCCCAGAAAAGCTCCCACAAGTAGGATTTTTGCCAGACTAGTTAGTTTTTAATGCATGCAGTTAAGAATACAGAAGACTGCTTGTCTTGAGAAGTCCAAGGAGTAAGTAATTATTTTTCTGATTATTTCACTGTGTAAATACCCAATAAACCACGGAAGGCTGGCATGTTTAATGGCACTATCCTCTTAAGATGCATTTGAGACACTTATTTTGAAGATTAGGGGATCTGAGATGGCAGAATACTTTTGAAACAGAGGTTACTTTGTTAGCATAGCTGTTGATTTGTCACTAATCACAATGCAGAGAAAAGTGGTTTTGAGGGGAGCATCAAGAGTGAAGGAATATCTCTGATTAAGTATCAAATCATGCTTCTTCTAATATTGCTATAGTCTAATGATTTGGATGTAAAGAATTTTCATAAAGTTAATATACCACTATTTTTTTATGACTTGTGCCTTTACCTGCCAAATCCCATTAACTTCATTTAAAGCCAAAAAAACTGATAATTCTAGCCCTATGTGTTTGACATGTTCTCTACAGCATATGCAGCTATTAAGGGCAAAAATACCAGTTTTTAGTGTGGTTACTGTACCTATACTTTATTTTTATTTACTTTAAGGAAGAGATCTTAAATCTGTCTTATGTATAGTTACTTTGTTGTTCCCAGGATGTGTGGTTATTGATATCCATTGCTTCCTAACATACTCAGAATGAAAAGTGACAGATCAGCTACCTTTACCCAACCTTTATTTCAAACCAAAAATGACATGAGAAGAAAACAGATCTTATTCCAGGTAAGATCTGGAGTAAATATAAATTGCTTCTATTGTTTTATTTAGGCTTTTGCTAAAGAAGGAGCCAAAGTCATTGCTACAGACATCAATGAGACTAAGCTGCGTGAACTGGAGAAATATCCAGGTAAATGACCCGTAGTGGGCAGTAGTTCAGCTCTTTGTTGTGGGCTGGCTGGAGTATAATTTGAGGATAGGTAAACTTTAAAAGGCTAGAAAAAAAATAGAAAATACTCATACTAATTCTGTAGAGGTTGCCATTGCTTTATTCTGTGGAGAGGAATGGCAGAGATTTATAATGTAAAATGCTGCAAAATCAACATACCAGACAGAATTATCCCAGGCATGTGGGATAACTTTGAGTTTCTTGTGTCACAGAAGAAGTTGATTTGTGCTTCCCAGAGTAGTGCCTATTTCAGTTACTTTTTGAGATCACTAGGATAATTGTCAAACGTACCACTCTAAAAGGCACAAAGCTTTTTTTTTCTGCTCACAAGAATTAATATCCGGCTATATAAAAAGTACATCTAGCATCTTGCGTTTCTATGGTCCATACTTCCTAAGGAATGCATTAAAAGGATCACTCTCTAGTAGGTTTCTTATGTCTTCAGAAACTAGTTCCACCAACACTAGATAAGCCTAACCTGTTTGCACAAATGCTCAAGCCTGAAGCTTGTTTTCCTATTGTTATCACTGGAACATATTTCAAGGAACAGATTTTGCATTGCTGTGTTTCTTAGTAAGTAACAGAAGTGCAGGATTATTTTTTTTTATCTTAAAATAATAATAAAAAAAAAGACTTGGATATATTTTGTAACTGAAAATACTTTCAACTTAATTTGAGGGAATGAAGTGGATTTAATGAATTCTTATTACAGGGCAGCAGTCAAACATGCAAAAACACACTTCTCTGGCACAGCTTTGAGAGTGAACATTGGTCTTTGCTGACTGGAGTTAACCATAAGCAGTTCCTTTGTAATTTTTTTAGGAACTTTAGGACTTTCTAGGTTCAATCTGAGGGTGTTTAGGAAGTGTTAAATTTTGTGCTGTGCATTTTTTTTCCCCTCTGTTAGTGTGTTCACAAGGAAAGAGTTATTTTTCCATACACTCAGAGGCATTTCCATTCCTTCGACATGTGATTAGTTAAGCTGTAATTCTTCAAGACTTGGCATATTGTGGTCTTTGAATTTTATCCAGGAGGAGTAATTCCACTGCTGATGTTAATCACCAGCCTGTAATTGCATTGTTACACCAAATATCTTCGAAAGTGTCTATATCATTTAACTAAAGCATTTAAAGCCTACTTATGGACTTGTCAGTTTGGCTTCAGAAGAAACAGGTTTTTATCCATTTCAAATTATAATCTCCCATAACTTAAACCTCTGAAAGCCATTTAGTCCTGCTTACTGCTTGAAGTGACTAGTTAAAGCAGATTCCTCAGGGCTGTGTTGAGTCAGGTTCTGAACTTCTCCAAGGGTGGAATTTCCTCAATAACCTCTGTAGGCTTGTGTGTTCCAGCATGACTGCCCTCATAGTTTTAAATAATAATGATACTTTTAAAACAAACAAGGCTGAAACAAACAGTAAAAAAACCCCACCAAAACTAAACACATCTTATATTCAGACTTTCCTAACTTACAGCTTTTCTGTTGCCTTTTGTCCTTCCACTGTGGGCCTCTGAGAAGTCTGGCTCTATCTCCTTGTAGGTATTAGACTCTGTTCCTAGTTGTATTTACTAAATTGTAAAATACATAAACCCCAAAAAACAACAACAGAAAAAAAGGGCTGTGGCAAAAGAGTTTTCAGCAGCAGTTGTTAGTTTTCTGGGAGCCTCATTGTAACTGCTAAGGAGATTTCTGGAGTCAGTAATTACTGTGTCCTTCTCCACTCATCCAGGTTTACTTTGGATAAAAAGCTCATGTACTCTGAGAAGGGGGCACACTCACTCTTTACATGCAGTATGGAGTAAGGGTGCAGGCAAAGTGTATCATGAAGTATCACAGAATCAGACAATTTTAGGGGTTGGAATGGACCTTGAAAGATCATCTAGTTCAACCCCCCTGCCAGAGCAGGGTCACCTAGAGTACATCACACAGGAATGCGTCCAGGTGGGTTTTGAATGTCTCCAGTGAAGGAGACTCCACAACCTCTCTGGGCAGCCTGTTCCAGAGAGTGTTCTTTCACTCTCACAGTAAAGAATTTTTTTCTGATGTTTATGGGGAACCTCCTATGCTCCAATTTGCACCCATTGCCCCTTGTCCTATCACTAGATATCACTGAAAAAAAGCCTGGTTCTGTCCTCCAGACACACCCTTTACATATTTGTAAACACTGATGAGGTTGCCCCTCAGTCTCCTCTTCTCCAGGCTAAAGAGACCCAGCTCCCTCAGCCTTTCCTCATAAGGGAGACGTTCCACTCCCTTAATAATTTTTTGGCTCTGTACTGGACTCTTACAAGCAGTTCCCTGTCCTTCTTGAGCTGAGGGGCCTAGAACTGGACACGGTATTGGGGGAGAAGAATCTCTCTTGACCTGCAAACCATGCCCTTTCTAATACATACCAGGATGCCATTGGCCTTCCTAGCCACAAGGGCACATTGCTGGCTCATGGTCATCCTCCTTTCCACCAGGACCCCCAGTTTGCCTATGCCATAGTAAGAATTCTCACATGGATGAGAGAAGGTAGATGTATTAGATAACTGATATAAAGCTGATTCGTAAGACACATGCAGCTAGTTCCAAGTAAGTATTATTCTATAATAATAGGCATAAAAGCCTGTTGTGATTTTACAGGTTCTGTAATTCTTCAGGTAATGTTTCATAGTAAATTATGTTGCTCATCTACTTGTGTGATGCTGTATGACAATCAAATCAGTTGATTTTTTTTTCCTTCTGAAACTTTAAGTAGCATGCTATGCTGTCTGTTGCTGTCCCAATTTAACCATTGCACTAACAATGATTAAATATATCTCTCACTCAGTGAGTGTCCATGTCTGGGTGCACCACTGAGGGGGCACTGTTCCTCACAAGCTGCTGACTTGAATTGTGGTTCACTCCTCAGCACTTGAGGAAAATAAACTGAATCCTCAGCCAAATACAGTGAAGAAAATGCCATGTTTTTCTAGGAATTCAAATACGGCTTCTGGATGTCACCAAAAGGGAGCAGGTAGAAAATCTGGCCAAGGAGATTGAAAAGATTGACGTCCTCTGTAACATTGCAGGGTAACCAGCTTCTATTTGATCCTACTATTCTTCTAGGTTTCACTGTTCTCCAGAAGTGCTCTCTTTTACTTAAATGCACTCTATTTTGTGTTAATGTATTTTATACTTTTAATACAAACTTTAATGTGTTTTGATGAAAACTGAACTTTTTGTGATCTGCCATATTACCCAGGCCAAGATAGAATCGCTCTGGGATTTGTTTTCCCCACTCTGTGGGTGCCCTGTACTGATGGCACCCACAGCCCAAGCAAATCTGAAGGTCTGGTAGTGGTGCTCTAATTTTTTTACTTTTAATTTCACTATTGCCAATCATTTATTTGCCCATACTGAGTCTTGTCCCTCCTTTTCAAGGTTGGAAGATTTAGCCACTGCAAAATAGTAATGGAAAAACATGAATAAATGCCACAGAAATGTGTATCACAAACACTAATCCACTTCTTGCTCTTTTTCTAGGTTTGTGCATCATGGAACCATTCTGGACTGTGAGGAGCAAGACTGGAATTTCACTATGAATCTCAATGTTCGCAGCATGTACCTAATGATCAAGACATTCCTTCCCAAGGTAAGGCTTGGTTGCCCATGATTTTTAGTCTCTGCTGCATTGTGTTTAGAGTGCAGGAAGTCTGATTTGTTGGCACTGTGACAGCGTGGGATTTGCCACTTTGTATAGGGGAGGCCCTTAGATGAGATCAGTCCTGCTCTAAAAATATCCTCTGCGTTTGTGTAGACAATCTATCTAAAGGATATGGTAGAGAAGATTTACTCAGGTTTTTTCCCTGTATAATTTGTAACTAAAATTCTTCAAATGCAGAGCAGTGAGGGAGCCATTGTAATACAGTATTCCCATATTACAGTATAGCATATAGCTGCACAATACCGCTGCTAAAAAATATTTATGAAAGATGTATATTAATATGAAGCTTATTAAAATCTGGAAACTAGCTTGTGGAGCTATTCAGTACCACTGATGCCAACATGCTGGCTGTAACAGAACAATGATTCAATTAGTCTAGCAGCTTGAGGGCAGTTTTTGTCTTTGATTTAATAACTAGATTTGGGACTACAAAGATTTATTAATTTAGTAAGGTGTTTTTATGCCTCTAAATGCAAAGGCTAGAAGTGAAAGCTGTGACTGGATGATGACCTCTCTTCTCAGTGTTGTTTCAATCCATTTTGTTAGTGTCATTTTTTTGGTTGGTTGTTGTTTGTTCTTAGCTGTTCTCTATTTTCAGAGTTTTTTTTTAATAACAGCTTCAGGCATCTCAGGTCTTGGGGTGCATAAAAAGGTTATAACTTCAAGAAATTTAGCTACATTAGCTACAAGGTACTAGAGTGGTATTTTAGTCTTCTCCAAAGCAAGAAAGTTTGAATGGGATTAGTGAATTACTACATTAGTAGATGGCGTGAGCAAACATTTATGTAGTGTGACTTACTGTAGTGACAAGAGGGCAATGATTCAGAGGTGGCTATCTAGGAAAAAAATCCTTTCCTGTCATAATCTGAGATGATTTAAGAGAACCTAGTGGGAATTTCAGATTATGACTGAAGTAGTAAAGCAGAGTTTAAAAAGAGAGAATCACGTATTCATGCCAATTCATCTTTGTTATCCTGTGTATCAGTTGCATGTATGGGCTACATATGACTTAAGTATTCTTTTGCAGATGCTTAAACAGAAATCTGGAAACATTATAAATATGTCTTCTGTGGCATCCAGCATTAAAGGTCAGTAGCTTGCTAGAGAATTCCTTCTGTAAATCTGTACTATTATGGGAATACAAAACAAATATTGCACAACTTTGAATTCAGAGGGCACTGCCAACCCTGTGGAGTGATGCAGTTAAAATAATAATTTAAAACTCATACATACATACAAGGACACAGACAAAGCTGCAGAAACACTAAGATTCTTGCCTTTGGGCTTCTGAATCTCTGTCTAGAATGTTTTGTGGCATCCTCATCAGCAAGTTTGCTGATGACACAAAGCTAGGAGGAGTGGCTAACACACCAGAGGGCTGTGCTGCCATTCAGAGGGACTTGGACAGGCTGGAGAGTTGGGTGGGGAGAAACCTGATGAAGTTCAACAAGGGGAAGTGTAGAATTTTGCATTTGGGGAAGAGAAACACCATGTACCAGTACAGATTGGGGACTGACATGCTGGAGAGTAGTGTAGGAGAAAGGGACCTGGGGGTCCTGGTAGACAGGAGGATGACCATGAGCCGGCAATGTGCCCTTGTGGCCAAGAAGGCCAATGACATCCTGGGGTGCATTAGAAAGGGTGTGGTTAGTCGGTCGAGAGAGGTTCTCCTCCCCCTCTATTCTGCATTGGTGAGGCCCCATCTGGAGTATTGTGTCCAGTTCTGGGCCCCTCAGTTCAAGAAGGACAGGGAACTGCTTGAGAGAGTCCAGCGCAGAGCTACAAAGATGATTAAGGGAGTGGAACATCTCCCTTATGAGGAAAGGCTGAGGGAGCTGGGTCTCTTTAGCTTGGAGAAAAGGAGACTGAGGGGTGACCTCATCAATGTTTACAAATATGTAAGGGGTGAGTGTCAGGGGGATGGAGTTAGGCTTTTCTCAGTGATGACCAGTGATAGGACAAGGGGTAATGGGTGCAAATTGGAGCATAGGAAGTTCAAGGTGAATATCCGAAAAAAAAATTTTCCTATGAGAGTGACAGAGCCCTGGAACAGGCTGCCCAGGGAGGTTGTGGAGTTTCCTTCACTGAAGACATTCAAAACCCACCTGGATGTGTTCCTGTGTGATGTGCTCTAGGTGACCCTGCTCTGGCAGGGGTGTTGGACTAGATGATCTTTTGACGTCCCTTCCAACCCCTAGGATTCTATGAATCTATGATTCTATGATCCTTTTTAGCAGTTTTCATTAACTAAAAAGGAATAATGTGCAGTGATGCCTTGCTACATATGCTCTTCAGAAGAGCAGTGAAGAAATCAATTACAATTGCATAAGTGCTGTAGCTGTGCTGCCTGAGGAAGCCTGGTGGTGACTAACAGATGGGTCTATGTGTTCCTAAATCTTTAACTTTTCTAGACTGCTTCCCAAACTTAGACTCTTGAAAGATCATGTGCTTTGCTCTCATTTATGCCTGAGTAGATCTGTGGCAGTCAGCATTCTGGTTAGCCCTCCCTTCTGGAAAGACTACAGTTGCTACAGGAAATGCTGGAGTCCTGAAGCAGGTGCATGTTGAACAGACTTGAATCTCTCTTTTTCTTTTCTTTTTTTTTCATATATTTCTACACTGCCTTCACACTGACCTTCTGTTAGGAGTTGTGAACAGATGTGTATATAGTACTTCAAAGGCAGCAGTGATTGGTCTAACAAAGTCTGTGGCTGCTGATTTCATTGAACAAGGCATCAGATGCAACTGTGTATGTCCTGGTAAGTATTCTTACCTTATTTTGCAAACTTTAGAGTTTAGTGGGCTAGGAGGCCCAATGTAGTTTGGCATTATTCATGAAGAATAGACTTACAAATGGCAACTAGAGTAACCAGCATTCTAAAAGAGCAGGGCATGCCAGAAACATTTCTGAGATTAAAAGTGGCTAAGTTGTTACTTTTGTAGTCATGCTGTATGTTTGATCTGTTAACCCATCACATACATAGTAGATATACATAACATTATACATATATATATATCTGTAAAAATACTTACAAAGTACTTGAACATTTATTTTCAAAAATATAGTCCAAGAACTTAGAATCAGGCAAGGGCTAGCTAACAGGCTAGCCATTGTTCAGCTGCCTGAAAAACATTTAATCTAATTCTTAGAAGTCTTCTGTTGAAATTTAGAATACTACGCTATGTTGATAGTTTTGCAGTCTTTCTCCTGAATCATATTATGAAGTTACACATAACCGTGAAGACACGCTAATAGAACCACTGAACTGCATGGGTTTTTTTCACTATTGTTGATACAGTTGACTTTTAACATTGCATTTTAAATTTTGCTTAGGAACTGTTGACACACCATCTTTACAGGAAAGAATCAAAGCACGGCCAAACCCAGAACAGGTGAGAAAATGATTCATTAGCTTGATCACGTGTGTATATATGTTTCATTCCCTTAAAAAAAGTCAATAACAAAATACTGTTGCACTTTTGCAGGAGTGTCTCCTGTTTCAGAGTACCAATGATAACATAACAGCATCTCCTTTTATAGTTGAATCAGTTTGTACTCAAGACAAAAGTCCTAAAATTACTCAGAAGGGCACTATTGCTTACTGAATACACAGGGTCTGTCATCTGTGGAAGTACATGCAACCATTGGTGACAGCATCTCGTGCAAAAGCAGACAAAATTTTCTACTTTGCCATATGGCAACCACATTATCATGCAAAACCACATTATCATGCATGGTAGAAAAGATATTCTGGCCTATGCGTTTCAAAATTATTTGGGATGCTTAACTATTACTGACTAAGCAACTGTGAGCCCTCATTCAAAGGGTCTGCAGATAGCTATGGCCAAGGAAGAAGGACTTTGTTTGCTTTATTGTGGAACCAGAGGTTTAGGTCTATTCTGCTACTGTTTTTCAACCTGAAACTCATACCACTGTTAATCTTCTAATTTCTCTTTCTACATTAATACCTTGCTCAGTGTACTACAGGAAGTTATGACTTAAGGCCTGTTTCCAGTATTGCTTTGTCTATGTCAAAATAATTGAATTAAAATTTATTTTTTATATACCAAATGCTCTTGTCTATCCAGGCATTGAAAGACTTTCTAGCCAGACAGAAGACTGGTAGGATGGCTACTGCTGAAGAAGTGGCCCACCTCTTTGTCTACTTGGCCTCTGATGAGGTAAGTATGCAACAATGACATTTCCTGTCACAGAAGCCTGTGCTACTTTACTGCTTCACAATAGAGGTAATATGGTTTGGCAGGATTTATATTGTCTTTAAGATGGATTATTACAAAAATTAAAAAGCTTACCATCTTTTTTTATTTAGTTCAACCTACAATACAAAAGATATTCTGAATGTTAACAGTGGTTGCTAAGGCATTATGGTTTTGGTACCACAGCCTGGTGGTTTCATGTCATCTGAGCAAATTGACTGACACCAGATCATCCTAAATGATAGGAGAAAAGGACTTGTCTACTTTTCTAAGTTTGTACCGTGATTCAATAATTTTTAAAACAGGTAGAATTAGCAGTCATCACCTACCTTCACAAATCAAGAGCTAATATAGAAATGCTGGAGATTTTAGCTAAAAGGGCTAATGCTCAGAGTGAAACTACCCTTTCAGCATAAGGACAGCAATAGACCCACTGAGGTTATGTCCCAGACTCTTAATGACCACTGCAAATACCACCAACACTAATAAGCACACATAAAGGATATTTGAGATGCTGTAAATTTACTATGAATCTAAAATGGCACTGGATTCTTTTGAACTTGTCAAGCAATCCTACTGAGCATCACACAATACTTAAATGGAATTAATTCAGTCTTAATGTTGCTATCTATCAGTAATCTGTTTCTCATTTTCATCTTGTTTTTAGTGTTTCTGCAGACACTTCTTTTGCAGACTGGTCATAGGGTTTTCAACCATGTGTGGACACAATTCCAGTTTTCCAATATATTCCAGTATACTTCAGTACTGACAGAGAAGAATGTCAACAGCTCAGTTACTCACTGTCTGCACAATCTAAATTTTCAGTTAGGTCCCCTTATAATTATTGGCTGACCTGGTCAGATGCTGCTCACCTGAACAGAGCTAATATAGTGTGAGATATTATTCCTACATTTAAGATATCTTAATGCCTCTGACAGTACTTTTGCTAGACTTCCCTAAGTTAGCTGAAAGACTTCCATTTCAAAGTTTGTTTATATTCTATTTATTCAGATACTTTTGTAAAACGAAAAAGGACTGTTTGTATAAAAACAAATTTTTTTTTTAATTTAAAGAAAAAGTGTTTTCCTGTAATTAATAGCTATGAAAAATTAGTTATTCTTATATTTTATGTAATTTCAGTCTGCCTACATGACTGGCAATGAGCTAATAATTGATGGAGGATGGAGCTTGTGATTGACCCTACCTGCAAATGGACAATCATACCATGAAAGGCAAAAAGTGAGATCATGTTTCTCAGTTAAGATAGCTTGCCAAGATTTGTCACACACATTATATCTTTCACAATAAATTTGGTGCATTTTTACTGTTACGTGATCTCTTTCCAGATTGATCTTACCGATTCACTTTTCCCTAAACAGTGGAACACCAGAATAAAACATACTTCATGTTGCTATGTTTTTGTGGTTTTGGTGTTACCATAAGTTGAAGCTATTTGATTTTTAAGATTTCTGTGGGCCAAGAATATTAAAGGTACCAAATCTGAGTTGTGTTTTAAGCAAATTGAGTGAATTAACTACCACCTTTATTCTCATCTTGCAAAAAATGTTAAAGTTAAGCATTCACAATTGGATTTCCTACTAGAATTGACAGACAATCTAGAGAAAATAGTAACTAGAACTAAGCCAGCCAAAGGGATCCTGAACTAGATTGCTGTATCTTGCCCTACTTAGCAGTGCTTTTCATCCATGTGTTCACAGCTACAACTTTTGAAATATGTTCTTGTCTAGGAGATTTCCAGCAGACTTGCTGAGATTATTAAAGGAGAACGCTTCTTAATGCTTTTGTGACCTCTTAATTCCCTGGTCTGTTTATAATGGAACTGGGTAATTCTGCTTGTTTATATTATCACTGGGGTGGAAGAAAAACCGGAGGTGTTTTACTTCAGATTCTAGGTCAAACTTCTCTTTTGTGGGGGAGGAGGAAAGATACTTCCCTGATTGAGTCCTGGAAATCTTAATCTGGAAAAAAAAACAGTGCTGCTTTTCTCTCGGATTTGTAGTCAGTTTTTAATGCTAGTAGGAGTAAAGTAGCAACATGTAGCATTTGAATCTGCTTTCACATGCACCCAGTGCAGCCTGCAAGATGAGGCTGAGAGAGACCTGTCTTGCTCCCTCCTGCACTTGCTGCCGAGATGGACACGCTTGATTCCTCTTCAAGAAGGAGAATTGTCTTGATGGGAACATCACAAACAAGCAGTTGTTTGGGGTTTTTATTCTCCTGCCTGCTTCAATGCAGAATCATCTGGAGACCCTTACTCTTCCTCTGCACCTAATGGCCCTTTGCAGCGCTGCAGCCCAAGTAAGAGGACTGCGAATCGCTTCTCCCGCGCGGAGGTAGGGATGAGATGGCACGGGAAGCACCGGCTGGCTGTGCCCATGGCTGGAAGCCCCTTGCGGGGCAGGGTCCCCCGTTCCCGCAGCCGCCCCCTCAGCGCCGGGAGGAGCCCTCGGCAGGGATTTGCTGCCCTCCTGTGCCGCGGGGCTGCGGAGGCGGGTCCGTGGCACCGGGGAGGAGGAGCTGGCGCTGGGAAGGGGCTGTGGACGCCGTGCAGGGAGCGGGGCCTCCTCCCTGACCCCCCCACAGGTGAGCGCTTGGCCCCTCGGCCTCCTT